GGCGTGCATTTGCTGTGGCATTGTTCTGATAAGCTCGCTAGACCTGACCAACTGCAGCAACCCCAGAGCATACAGTAGCTCTGCCCCCACAGGCTGTACAGTTGGCACTAGGCATGTTGTTGGCTTCTTTACCACACCCCGGGTAAATACTGTCTCACCTCCGATCAGTCAGGGAACATTTCGTTCGGCCCGCTCACTGTTCCTCGGCGAAAAGTGTTATTTAGGCAACTTTCGTCTGCTTCGATCTTCGCCAGAAAGATTCAAGCTGGAGTATCCGGTTCGGTCTTTCAAAATAAAGTTCTCCCCTCGGGAGTTGAAAAACACTTAGAGACTTGAGTCTCGGATGGACAGTCGCGGCGTGCCACTGTCCTGGCCGTCAGATCTCCCTAATTGGCTTATGGGCAAGATCTAAGGGCCGAGCTGATTTCTCCGAAGAGAAATTCAGCCTTCCTTCCCCCGTTCGGCATCCAGGAAGAAGTGTTCCCTCATCCAAAGGCATCCGTGTTAGTAATAGAAGCGGACCCCTTTGGTTCCGCCCTCAGGCGTTAAGAATGAGTCAGGAAAAGAAAGGAAGATAAAGCTTTCCAGCCAGGCGCCAGCGCGAGGTCAAATTCTGTGGTTGTTGTTAACAGAATATGAATAATATCTTCTTTAGCTTTTCTTTCTGATAGACTCTAAGAGAAATCACTGTAAAACATTTATGATGATTAATTAACATTTCTGTTTAAATAATCAGTCTGAGCCATTTGTTGGTCCAGATAAATGAAAGATTTTCTCAAGAAAACTCAAAATTATATTACTGATGTTTCCAGTAAAATAAAAACAGTGATTTATATAAAACACAATGAAAATATGGTGATGATTTTCTCTGTGATTTTTTTATACCATTAATTAATCTTTTAGGCACGATAAAAGAGTAGAAGTGATTCCACTTTCTTTGTGACAGTCATTATATGATTTAACAAATGCATAAACATTCTTAGTAAAACAACAAATGAATCACGAACAGAAAAGATTGTTCTGTCCATTATCTGATTAAGAGAACTGAGGAATTCTCTTCTAGGTTGAAATGACCTGTCATGGCCTAAATAGAGTTCAGTGTTCCTGCCTTCTTGTCAGGCCTTTCCGAGGTCCACTTTGAGGCAGTAAATCTTGTTTCTTCACTCGAGGTGACCCCTACACTCAGGTGTCAAAAACCTTTGATAATTACAACCGTGATGTCTACCAGCAGCTTCAAGGCTAGTGATGTTTCAAGTGGTGAGATTATGAGCTTAAAATTATCCCAGCTACAATGACAGACAACAAATATTACGTTGTAATATTTAATATTATATTTATTATTATTATTATTTCATGTAATTGTAATACTATAGTATTAACAACTAAAACCATTTTTGACGCCTCCACCACAGTTTGTCCTTCATGAGCCTTCGTAGACAAGATGCCGGTGCAAGATGGCGGCTGCCTGTAGTGGCGACCCGCGACCATGGAGGTATAAACAGCTTTTTATAAGGTAAAAATAATAAAACTGATGTGAATGTTATATTAGGTCCAATAAAATGATATTCAAGCAGATAAGTGGAGATAGCACATGGCAACCTTTATTGTCGAACGGAAGAACAAGGCTGCAGACAGCGCCCCCACCACACATTACAACCAGAGTGCCCCCTAATGGTGATTTATTATATTGCCTCATGTTGACATTTACAACCAAAACAGCCTCCCACACATATACCAAAAATGTGTAACAACCTTAAATCTAGAGGTTTAATTATTTCTGTGTCTGGAACACCACAAAAACAAGGTCTTTGTCTGCAATGATTAGACATGTTTTTTTTTTTATTGTCATTAGTGATTATCCCAATTTCGACTAAAAGAATTGACAAAATCCTACACACTGTACTTTTAAATAAATAAAATTGAACTTGTTCACCCAAGTTTTGTTTTTTCATTATCAAACTTGTATCTCCTATAATCATTTCAGGCTGAAAATGGGTTGAAAACCCCAATTAAATATGACGTTTATGCTTATGATGAGTGGATTGAAACACATTTTTATGTTTATATTTTATTACAAAGAAAGAACAGAATTTAAAACTCATCTGGCCTATTTAAAGCTCAGTTTTCATTTTAGCTCTGCACAAAGCACTGATCAATTCAGGAACGCCTCTCAGGGGCTCTAATCAAACTCTATTGATGTGGAATGTAATGCATTATTTCTAATTAAATTAAAGAACCGCGCATTCACTGAGATGATGTGTAGGTTTGATTACTCAATGTTCAATGTTCAATAGAGGTATGACAAATCCAAAAAATACATTGTTCTAAAATCTAAGATTTCAACAATGCAGGATAAAAATATGTTTCCACTGTTTTTACATACTTTGTTTGTGGTTTTTAATTTTTGCCTAAACAATCAGAGTTGAAGTTTTCTCCAACTTTTATCTGCATGTTCATCTGCTAATGAGCTGTAAGATCAGATCAGTACGGGAAATTTAACTTCCTGATAGCTTTGCAGGGGATGAGACTCATGTGGAAAGAGTGAGAAAAAGACCGGTTGACACATCAATAACTTTACATTACAACTATGAGTAGGCCCTGAACACTGTTCCAAGAAATACTAATTGAATTTCAAGGTAATTAAAGCCAGGAGAAGCTCTGGAAAACATGAAGAAGGCCCCAATTGGTCTCCTGTTCCATCACTTGTGAACAAGATTCCCAGACACTTAAAGAGGCAGGAACTAATCCTGACCTGGATAAAGTATGGCATCCATTTTTTCTGGATGAGAATCACTGTCTCAGACAGAAGCTGTTTCTCATCCCAGCTGTCTCAGTCTCTGCTCTGAACTGTCCCAGTTCATGCATCCACTGGTCGTGACATAAAGACACCAAAAAAAAAAAAAAAAAAAAAAACTTCATCATCTACAAAAATCAGAGATGAGTCAGAAACTTTCTACTTCACAACTGCACCTTGAGATCCTGTTCATGATCACCACAAATAGCTGTGTAGAAGGAAAGGCTGATGTCATAAGTTAATTCTTGGTTTGTTGATGTTTTTTTTTTCATTTCCTACAAGACAAGACCTCTAAAAGACATCACCATTTCATGTGTTAGGCAGTGAGATCTGCCGGTTTCTTTACTTGTTTTCATGAATGCTCTCTGCAACAATGGTACCGTGGTGATCTGCCTCTCACTGCTTGACAGCGTTCATAATCAGATAGACATACAGTACAAAGTAAAAAGACAGAATCAGTCAAACATATGGGGTGCCAAGTGTAAAATGAAATGCTAAAAAAGTCACTAACTCATTTACATATTTAGCTCACTTTGAGTGTGAAACCCTAGTTAAAAATTTCCCACTAATATTTAATTATTTAGGTCACCATTCTTACAATTTGCTAATTTTTGCTAAATTTTCTACTTAAATGTAAAATGTTCTGTCAAAATAAAAGTTAAATGTACATATTGGGACTAAATGTTAAAGTTTACATTTGAGTATTTCAGAATGGAGCACAGCCTTTGTCGTTGGTGCAAGGCTTTTGTTATGTTGTCATCACCCTGCAACAAAAGCTGTTGCGAATACTGCTAACTAGGGATGCACCGATATGAAAGTTTCAGCAAATATTGATATCCAATGTTTTTGGTGTTATGGCAAATAACCGATTTTTACTGATATTACACAAACACACAAATTATTTATTTACAAATATGCACAAACACACTCGTGTCTTTTTTTGATACCATAGAAAAATGACGACCACTGAAATGGCTCTACTTTAGTTATTCCTGGCTGTACAGCATCACTAACAATATCATGATCAAACAGATACCGCTCGACCAATCATCTCCACTTGCAAAACAGAAACACAAAGCTAAAAGGTAGGAAATCAATATTGGACAATATCGGCCCAGTTTTACTTATTGGTCCAATATATTTTTAAAAAATTACCATCAGCCAATACTGATGTTAATGCAAATATATCGTGCATCCCTACTGCTAATGCTGCTAAAGCTTCTCTACAAGACATCAAACTTGCAGTTGTCGCCGGTGTCTGAGCTGCACGTTAAACTGTCAGATCACAGGTACCCTCCGTATTGTTTTCAATTAACACATTTTGAATTTAGATTTTAAATGCTCTTTAGCAGCATTAGCATTTGTATTTGTCCCAGGATGATGATGTCACAACAAAAGCCACACACCAACAGCAGAGGCTGTGTTCCATTCCATAACTCTTAAATGTAAGCTTTATCATTTAGCTGCAACATTTAAGATGCAATTTAGATTTAGGATTTACATATTTAAATTCAACATTTAATAAAAAGATTGCTACATGTAAAAACTGCGAGATAAAATGTTAGTGGGAATTTTAAAATTATGAATTTACTCTAAAATTGAGCTAAATAATGAAAATGTGTTATTTTTATTTTTACACTTAGCACCACATACATATTGCTCAAAGAATAGAGCTTGGAATTTCACTAATGGTTTGCAAAGCACTAGTCAGAACTCCGACTACATCTCTGATCATCTTTAATGCTATAGACTATTAAATCTTTAAGATCATCTGAAACAAACCTAACTATTCCAAGAGTCAAGACAAAACACACTGAAGCAGCCTTGTTTTTAATGCACCAAAAGTTTAGAATAAGCTTCCTGTTCACTGGAGGACCTCTCACACACTGAGCTCTTTTAAAACAAGGTTCAAAGCTGTGGAGTTACATTTGTGCCATCAGCTTGAGCGTGCAGAAGCACTGATTTGAGAGCAGCTATCAATATGAACAAACAATAATTTGAAATGTGTGCATTCAAATCACACTCAGGCGGCTCCCTCCCTGCTTGCTCAACTCTTCCTGATTGTGCTTAACTCCCTCCCTCCTCTCAACTTCCCTTCTGCTCACTCGCAACCCAAGCTGTATGTAATAAACCACATCACCAAGCCAATCACAGACAGGGTTTGTTAGGGTTCGTTTTTGTGAGTACTCCGATGTGAGACAACAGTAAACAAATGACTCAGGCAACAGATAAAAGGTTCAGTGAGTTTATTTACAGGTGAATCCGGTAAATAGCTGTAAGGCAAAAAGGGATGATTGAGGGGAGGTGTCGAGTAGTTAAATGACTTTGAATATTAATTAATTTGTTTGTCTTACGCAGGGTGGATCTGGAGACAGGCTCTGAGGGGAGATGGTGGAGGCTTGTTGAGGTAGGTTTTGTTTGCAGAGTTGGTCCTTGTTCTTTTAGATATTTTCCTGCAGTTCGTAAGGGCGGAGAGAGAGCAGGGCGGAAGACAACAAAAGCTTCCAGTTTGGATATTGGACCATGAACTCAGTTCTTCTGCAGAGGGATCCAATCACGAAGAGAACCCGAGACTCAGGGCCTGGACACAGGTAAGGGCATAAAAACAAGTGTGGTTAGTCAGCTAGAATATATTATGTCTGCAGTACACTGGAGCTGTCTTACTCAGTACCAAGGCAACTGAATAATCCAGCGCTGGATGGATCTCAGGAAGCAGCTTAAAATACTTGTCCTCAATTAGCAGGTAACTGCTCCCAGGTGAGTCCATCCAGTCTCCGCCCACTGCACTCTCCATGAACTGCAAGAGAACTAGTAAACAGAAAACAAAACCTCCACAGGGTTTTTCTTTTCAGCCAATCAAAGCACTTATTAGAAATCTACTAAACCAAGTGGCTGAAGTGACAAAATCTTAGATTTTTATTTGCTATTAAAATGCTTAATTTATTTTTTTTAACTTTTTTTCTAATTTGTTTAACTTGTTTTGATATGTTTTATCTTGATGTATGTATAAGCACTCTGAGTTGCCTTTGGCCAAAAGGTGCTATGGAAATAACTTTGCTTTACAATCAGTCATTGTGCAAAAATGTTAAAAGAACTATTAGTAGCAGAAGCATCTTGAGCTCAGATAAAATGAAAATCAATGAGCATTTGGGTGTGCTCTCTTTGTATTTTGTAGAATGTGTTGCACATAGTTAAGCATGTGAACAAATTTTTTTCACAGTTAGAGGAAGAAAAACTCCACAACCACAAAGATAAAAAAACAAGACGTCAGTCGCACATTCATGTTCTCGACTAAGCTAGCTCCTCCTCAGAGCTGTCCATCTTGTGAATTTAATAACCAGCTCATGATACTCAAATCACATCAAACACATGTGAAAGGTGAAAAAATAAATAAAAACAATAGAAGAATAAGAGGAGAGTAGCAAGACGGGTGTTTCATGGCTCATAATGGAATGCAAAATGAATCCAAAAACACCACTATGGTTTTTTTTAGATCAACTTCAGTTTGCAGGGATGAGAACTAAATAAAGGCATGCATGATTTGAGCATGAATGGGAATCTTTATGTCACATAACCATCATAAAAGCAGACTGCGGGCATTTTCTGAAACAGCTTCTCTGAAGAGAATAGGGTAAGGAATAAAGGAATATGAAATTCATTTCAAATTCAATTTTCTACAGATCACCATGGGTCACATTTTCTCTCCCACTCTGTACCCAAATAGATAGGAGAGGATTCACCAGCATTATTGTACAAACTTTTAATATCCTAATAAAAGGATGTGGTGCAGGAAGTTTCCATTTCATTTTCTATGTGAGGATCAACAAGGTCAACGGTAAGCCGGATGCAATTTTCAAAGGTTGATAGTTGTACAGTATTCTCCTTTATGTGTATTAAACTTCAAGATGCAGCAGGTAGTTGCTGTTAGATCTGATTCTTCACAATAAAAGCAGAGAAACAGAAAATGTGTAAATCTTTATCTCCATCAAAGCATTAGATCCACGACAAAGATTATTCAGGACTGAGCAACATGAAAAAACAGTATGTTAGTCACTGAAGTATGTTATCTGAGTGAAACCTTGGAGACCTGAACCAGGCCTATCAGACCCAGATGGCATGACAGATCTCCTCTCTGCAGGAAACAAGCACTCAGATCTGTTGAGTCCTCCCACCCAGTGCCACAGATCCACATGTTCCCTTGAGATGAGAGCGTTAGACAGCTCATCTGTCATGCACACAAAGTAAACAAGCATTGGAAAGTGGCACATGTGGCCATCAAAACTGCATCTGTTTATTTTCAGCACAGAGTTTGGTATAAGTTTATTGGTTTGAATTCAAACTGCATTTGAAAATAAAAAAGATCAATTTAACGTTTGTTGTAGATTTTAATAAAAGCATTTGGTATTTGAAGCATAAAGATCTGCTTTGAGGGCAGAAATAAATAGGCTAATATTTGTTGGTTGAGTTCCAACAACTTATTGAAAACCTCATTTGGATTAATTTGTTAATGCTTGGTCAGCGGAAAATCTGACAGGTATAAAATATATAAAAGGTGATGCTGAACTTGAAATACTGAATTGATTTATTAAGTAAGTATTCAAAGATAAACCAATCTTAATGTTTCTATGGCCAAAACCAGATTGGCATACAGGTGAATAATGTGGTGGTCAACAAGCCAGAGAAAAAGGTATTGCTGATAGATGTAGTGATCCCAAGTAACTAACATCAGGAAAAAGTATGAACATGAGACTCTTTAGAAATACCAAGGGCTGAAGGAGGAAATAGAGAAGTTGTATAGAGTCAAGGTGTCAGTGGTACCAGCTCTAAAGCCTCTGGTATTTCTGAGGTATTTGAAATGAAGTGAAAATTAGGATTCAGGAAGAGCAGTGTGGTTTTCGTCCTGGTCGTGGAACACTGGACCAGCTCTACACCCTCAGCAGGGTCCTGGAGGGTGCATGGGAGTTCGCCCAACCTGTCTACATGTGTTTTGTGGACTTGGAGAAGGCGTTCGACCGTGTCCCAAGGGGGGCCTTGTGGGGGGTTCTCCGGGAGTATGGGGTACCGGGCCCTTTGTTACGGGCTGTCAGGTCCTTGTACGACCGGTGTCAGAGTCTGGTTCGCATTGCCGGCAGTAAGTCGGGCTCGTTTCCGGTGAGAGTTGGACTCCGCCAAGGCTGCCCTTTGTCACCGATTCTGTTCATTACTTTCATGGACAGAATTTCTAGGCGCAGCCGAGGTGTTGAGGGGATCCGTTTTGGTGGCCTTAGGATCGCATCTCTGCTTTTTGCGGATGATGTGGTCCTGTTGGCTTCATCGGAACGAGATCTGCAGCTCTCGCTGGAGCGGTTCGCGGCCGAGTGCGAAGCGGCCGGGATGAGGCTCAGTGCCTCCAAATCCGAGGCCATGGTCTTGAGCCGGAAAAGGGCAGAGTGCCTTCTCCGGGTCAGGGGGGTCGCCCTGTCTCAAGTGGAGGAGTTTAAGTATCTGGGGATCTTGTTCACGAATGGGGGAAGAACGGAGCGGGAGATCGACAGGCGGATTGGCGCAGCGTCTGCTGTAAAGCGGGCGCTGTACCGGTCCGTCGTGGTGAAGAGAGAGCTGAGTCAGAAAGCGAAGCTCTCGATTTACCGGTCGATCTACGTTCCTACCCTCATCTATGGTCATGAGCTTTGGGTCATGACCGAAAGAACGAGGTCCCGGATACAAGCGGCCGAAATGAGTTTCCTCCGCAGGGTGGCTGGACTCTCCCTTAGAGATAGGGTGAGAAGCTCGGTCATCCGGGAGGGACTCAGAGTAGAGCCGCTGCTCCTCCACGTCGAGAGGAGCCAGTTGAGGTGGCTTGGGCATCTGGTAAGGATGCCTCCTGGACGCCTCCCTGGTGAGGTATTCCGGGCACGTCCCACCGGGAGGAGGCCCCGAGGAAGACCCAGGACACGCTGGAGGGACTATGTCTCTCGGCTGGCCTGGGAACGCCTTGGAGTTCCCCCGGAGGAGCTGGAAGAAGTGGCTGGGGAGAGGGAGGTCTGGGCCTCCCTTCTGAAGCTGCTGCCCCCGCGACCCGACCCCGGATAGGCGGAAGAAAATGGATGGATGGATGGATGGATGGATGAAAATTAGGATAACCTCCCCCAATAAATTCAAACTTGTCCACCCAATTGCCTGGACACTTGTATCTCATATAATCATTTCACACTGAAAATAAGTTGAAATTAATCATTCAAAGCCCAAATACATATGATCTTTGTGCTTATAATCAGTGGACTGAAACTAAATGTCATGTTGATGTTTTATGGTAAAGGGCTTGAACTTATATAATGCCTTATCAAGTCCATATGGACCCCAAAGTGCTTTACATTTCACCCATGCACACACATATTCACACTGATGGTGGTAAGCTACACTGTAGCCACAGCTGCCCTGGGGCACGCTGACAAGAGTTGGGCTGCCAGGCACTGGCGCCACCGGACCCTCTGACCACCATCAGTAGGCAAGGTGGGTGAAGTGTCTTGCCCAAGAACACAACAACTGAGACAGATAGAATGGGGGATCGAATCGGCAACGTACTGGTTATGGGATGACTCCTCCAACCACTCCACCATAGCCACCCCCTTTTAGTACCAAAAAAGAACAGATTACCTGTTTAATTTTGGGAAAAAGAGTGAGCTGAACTGAGCTGAGCTGAGTTGAGTTGAGGGCCTTGCTCAAGTGCCCAGGGTGGGGCCAATGAAAGTGGCATCAGGTGCTTCACCTCTCCCATCCAGGTTTTGGTGTTGTGGAGGTGGCATTTGTGTGTGTTTTTGGTGGCCTACCTTCTACCATGATGTCAAGGAGTATGTGTCTGCATGCTCAGTATGTGCTCAGAACAAGAGCCTACATCAGCCATCATCTAGTCTCCTTCAACCTCTCCCTGTTCTGAGACGGCCATGGTCCCACATCTCATTGGATTTATCACCAGTCTCCCTCCTTTGGAAGGAGGGAGACACCACCATTCTCACTATTACTGACCAATTTTCCAAGGCTGTCCATTTCGTTCCGCTGACCAAACTCCCCTCTGCATTTGAGACTGCTCAGCTCATGGTATTTCATGTTTTTCAGTTGCATGGCATTCCCTATGATATTGTTTCAGATCGATGTTCCCAGTTCACATCCCAAGTATGGAGAGCATTCTGCAAAGCCTTGGGTGCATCCGTAAGCCTCACCTCTAGATATCACCCTCAATCTAACGGTCAGTCTGAACGCACCAATAAAGAACTCGAGTCCTCCCTGCATTGTGTCATAAATAAGAACCCCTCCTCCTGGTCTTCTCATCTCCCCTGGGTTGACAATACGCACATTACTCACACTTCCTCTGCCACAGGTCTCTCTCCCTTTGAGGCTTCCTTAGGATACCTACCTCCACTGCTTCCCACTCAGGAAGAGGACATCACTGTTCCATCTGTACATCACCTCAGATGCTGCAGAAGAATTTGGAGGCAGACTAAGGAGGCACTGGGACGCACCAAGGAACAAAACAAAAGGTTGGCTGACCGTCACCGGAACCTGCCCCTACTTACCTTATGGGACAAAAAAGTATGGCTGTCTACACGTGACATTACCCTCAAGGATTTCCCCAAGAAGCTGGACCCTAGATTTATTGGGCCTTTTCCCATCACCAAGATCATAAACCCTTCCGCAGTCAGACTTCAACTCCATAGAACCATGCATATTCATCCTACCTTCCATTTCTCTCAGATTGAAGCTTTTCTCCAGAGTTTGAACGCCTGTGACCAGAAACCACCTCCACCTCGCCTCATCGATAATCAACCAGTCTACACTGTTTGTCGAACACTCACCGTTCGAAGGAAAGATCGTAGTTTCCAGTTTCTGGTGGACTGGGAAAAGGTACGGGCCAGAAGAGAGGTCCTGGATCCCCAGGTCCTATATTTTGGATTCCACTCTCATCTCTGATTTCTACAGAGCCCACCCTGAGAAATGTCCTGGTCCACCTGGGGGTGATGATTGAGGGGGAGGTACTGTGGAGGTGGCATTTGTGTGTGTGTGTGTTTGTGTGTGTGTGTGTGTGTGTGTGTGTGTGTGTGTGTGTGTGTGTGTGTGTGT